ATTCCTTTAAAACTATATACAAATATACAAATGCATAAATACAGAAAACTTTCAGTCATATGGTTTAGCTGTAAATTTATTAGCAATTATAGAGTTTTGACAAGCGACAACAGATACTTTCAAAACATTGAGCTGCTGAAGTTGCAACTTTTAAACTATCAAACTTGCCAAATTTACTTTCACATCCAATGTTTTTGGTGAGTATCAGAAGTTGCCACAACCATAAACAAAATAATTCAATAAATCTAACTTAGTGAGATAAGGCATATACAAGAAAATTTAACAAAAACTAATTGAAGTTGTCCAAGCGATCAGTCTAGTTAGTTATCACCAATTTTTATCACAGAGCATAAAAAATTTGCAAAAAGTAAACATAACTCTAAGCTTCAGTAGACTTCTACACAGAAATTGTTTTAACAAATTTCAGCTTGTTTGAGCAAAATTAACAGCTCTTTCTCGAATAACCAATATCTCAATAGTAACTCTCAATTATTAGACACATATTTTATCCACACCAAAAAAAGCCAAGAAATTTTCTTTAGTTTTTAAAGATATTTCCAAAGTCTGTTAATTTGCATTTTACACAACGGTTTACTGTAATAATTGTTGGTTGTCCGAGCCGTTTTTATGATTCAGCAAAGAAAAAACATCATCTTGAATATTCAAAAGACGACATTTTTCCAATAAAGCCTTTTCAATATCGAAAAGATGTTTATCATTAATGTGTGGAGCTAACCGATGTACACAATCCGCTAATCTCAAAGCATATTCCAAGTTTGAACCACTTTTACCGCGAGAATGGAGGATCTATAAATTCTTAATATAACCACTACGCAACACTGTATTCAACAAAAAATGCTAGTAGCCAAGAAACCGTAGTAACAATGGAGTCGTTTTCCAGCGGTCCTTTGTAGTACGGATTAGATTCCAGTTTTGCAATATATACATTTATCAGAAAAGAATTACGACCATCGTCCGGTTGAAACTCAACTTGCTTACACTACAATAAAATTTCTGCATCAGTAGGAAGGAAAAAAGTTCTTGATCAGTACAAAAGTAATTTCAAAAAAAAAAAAGCTTTTACTAGCCACTAATTATTCATTCATCGCAAAGTGCAAAAACATAACTCCAAAATAAGGGTGCTTAATGACAATAAAAACTCCACCTCATATCCAGCCTGCTCACGAACATTTAAATACTGAACAGTGTCCTCAACATGTTCGTCAGGAACACGGTACGCTAGTCCCCAACAAGAGCCGTCTGGATCACGAACTAAGGTTACGGTGTTACCAGGCTAAACAAGGTTTTACATTGCCATCTAACTACATAAAACACCTTCGTCTTTCGGTTCTTGATTACTTCAAAAATTTTTCAAAGCTCTTGTAACTTCTCCGAAAAAAATCATCTTACCGGTAATAAGGACAACCAAAACATACATTTTCTGGCGTACCACGATGATCGGGGCTGAACTGCCAAAAGCGACGAGAGTAACCGTGTACAATACCGGGCAAAACTTCAGTATAAGGGAAGTCAGTATACCACAACAACGAACCGTAACCAAATATCCACATAAATTGCCACTTAATTTACTTAAGCTTGCTTGAAGAAAATGAAGCGAGAAGGACTATATATGACTGCCAGATTGGATCGTAATTAAAAGCTCAATCGTAACATTGTGCAAAAACGCCGAACAAATCTCTTGTTAAAATCATAAAAATTTTATGAAAACATCCCAAAAATAAGCTTTTTATGCTTAAATTTCGATCCGAAAAGGTTTTAGACTCAAGAAAGAAGCGAATTCTTTCAAATTCCATGATAATACAGTGAACTTATTGAATGTCCCATACAACAATGTAGTAAACAAGCAATTGAGAATGTTAGTGTCTAACAAAAACACGAGTAACACGCAGGAAATCTTAATAGAATATATAAGCAACAGTTTTGAAGGTTATATAGCCCAATAAAAACAACAACTTCAAATAATTCAAAGTAATAAAAAACACATTAAGTAGACAAAAATTCAAATAGTCCTGAAAATTAATTCCAGCTTCCACATCAAAATCTTTCTTACTACGCGGGCACAGCGTTATATAACACAATGTCCCCTTTGTAATAAATTCATGAAGAAAAAAATATAACTGGAAAAACCAGGAACTAAACGATTATAACAACGATGACGACAACAATAACAAAAAAGTAAACAGACAAAACCGTGCATAATTTAGTCCATCGGCTATCTCTTCGTTACTTATTCTTATTCAATTTCCGTTGTTGCATTGGTAAATAGATTAATAAAGTTTTCAATATTTGTTTAAGAGACAGTGATGATTAGAATAACGAAAGTTTTAAAAACCTTCGAAAAAAAACCAGTTTTACTCTCCCTCCATTTCTGAAGAAAAAGTCTGAATAAAAACATACTCAACAGGTTACTAATCTTTTCAAACGAAATTCTCCGCAAATTCTCTGTAACATTTAAGTAAAAAATAACAACACTCCATTACTCGCGCGATGTTCTGAGGCTTACAGATGAGACCAATTAGATTTACATTTGAAGACCCACTAAATTAATTTATAAGCCAAAAATACAATCCCTAATAACTGGCACTCCGACTGGAAACAAGAGTAAGTAATATAAACATATCTCGCATATCCAATTTTTACGGAGAAAATTGCTGAGAATAATCGTATAAACAAGGACTCCAGGTTAGACAGGCTGTGTTCACTAAAGTATAAACAGTTTTTATTACAGCGTCCACAGCCACGAGATCTTAATTTCTAAAAAAACGCTTAACAACTTTTCAGAACGAAAAACAACTACAATCCCGTAATATTTGAGCAACAAAAAAAATTCCATCTTTTTGCTTGACAGAAAATAGCAATAACACACCTAACCCTCAACAAAATCAAAAAATGCTAAGCAAAAAAAGAAATATCACTGAAGGCAGTAAAAAATTAAAGTAAAATATAGCGCTAACACATCCTAAGCCCATAGACAAGCTATACAATGTTGCTGACTTACCATACTTTTTGTAAAAATAGAAAATATCCTCAAAACCATATGAAATGTTATAGAAAGAAGCTGTTAACCATTCAACACCACTCAAAAGTCCTCTTTAGCCTACGAGGCTAAATGGTAATGAATGTGATTAAGAAGGAGGACCTGATTAAAAATAACTTGATACCAAACAGACAGTATTTGTTGCTAAAACCGTTACAACAAAAAATGATACATTTTTTATTTGGAGCTGTCAGAGTAGACTGTAAAACGATTTTTGACCTCGATTGAAACAATTGATGCTATCATGTGAACAGAAGCCATTGCACCGTATCCAGAATCACCACAAATCAACACTTTCTCGATAGGTGGAATTTCCTGCAAATTTAAAGTACGTTAGAGCGAAAAACTAAAAGATGAAGTTTTCTGCCAATTCCAAACCTTAAATCTGAGCAACTCTTTTAGTGTCTTCCTATGTTGGTAGGTTAGAACATTTTCCCACATAGCTGTATTCATCGCCGGTGCAAAATAAACAGGTTTTCTTGGATCCCATGCCCGAACAACAGAAGTCAATAAATTATCGCACATTCCATTAGCAATCTTTGCCATTGAGTTTGCATCCAGTGGAGCAAGAAGTAATGCGTCTGCCCATTTCCGTAACTCTAAAGTTTTGAATTTTAATTAACTATTACGGTAACTGCAAAAAATATTTTTAATCTCTTATAATCGGAAACTTTTCGGGACAAAAATTAAAAGCAAACCAATATGCAGTACAGGATCACCCCTTTTCTTCCACATGCTCCATTCATCACTGTCATCATATACTGGCTGCTGTAGAGACTCATAGTCGATAAAATGTTTTGCAGCAGCTGTTGCCATTACGTGTATCACCTGTAATATTATTTTAAAAAAAAAAAAAGAAAAAAAGAAGCACTTCAAGAGAACCCTATGAAAACCTTAGTCATGCTCAATGCTAAAAAGATAAAAGTGACCACGAGAAAAGTTACAGAAAAGTTGGAAGGAACTTCTATTTTATAATCAGATCAGGTTTCCAGAGAATGGTAAAGAATAAAGAATAAGAACGAATTATGATAAAAACAAAAAAGTGTAAATAAAATACATTTCTGCAACAAAGAACTTACGGACCAATTTATTTGGGGGACTTGTTTTCTGTAACTGCTCGATCAACTCAACCAATTTTATTGTAGCCACGGAGCCCGTTACTCCTATTAATAAGTGAAATTTACCTCCCTGACGAAGAATTTTATGCTCCGGCCCAAACGCGGGCCGACTAGAAAGATCTTTGTCCTGAAGTTAGTGTCAAATATAACTCCTCTTAAAAATGTTGTCAATTTTGAGAGAAAAACTGAATATAGTAATTACAAAGACCCACTGATTTTTCAGTTGCAACAGACGCAATAAGAACCTCGCTACCAGATGGCGCCTGATCATCTGCAGTTTCCAATCGCGGTTTTTTAGCTACGTCTGGTTCCACAGTGTTTCCTTCCATGTCTAAAAAACTCTTGAGAATTCCAAACTTAAAAAATAGAAATTAAGTTCCTCCGCCATAACTCAACAAATAAATAATTTGTAACTGATAACAACTTCCACGAAAAATTAATTTCAAATCTTACTAAAATCACACTTTTTTCGGCTTGCTTCAAAATAGACCAAAAAAAGAAGTGGCAAAAACACAGAAAAATCTTCCATTTGCTTTTAGATTAAATAGGACATGTCGTCTTCACTCCTCTTACTCAAGTACTTCTCATTAAGTAACCAAAAATGCAACTGGAAACTTGGTTTACAATATTCCATTGTCTTCTTATATCCTAGCAAAAAATACATAACCAACACATAACAATCTTTAAGGATAGATAAAAGCCGGAAACAGATTTCTTGAGTGAGGAAGCCAGCAAACATCGGTGCTCCCTAAGAGACCTTCTCCGCGCTTTCTGGGAAATCTGCTGCTAAAAAATTACCACTAATCAGTGCTGAAAACGCCTAATGGCTCATCACCAACAGGACAACCAAAAGCGGCTTTACGCTTCCTGTACGCACGACAAGATTTGAAGACGCAAAACAATGTCGGAAACTTTCCAGTTTTAGCGGAACCAACTTACATTGCTCAAAGCGAAGATCGCCACTACCGCTTCAGGTTCGTAATAAGACTGTGGTGGAAAAAAAACAATACAACGACGCAGAGCGAACACAAAATTTATTTAAAAATACAGCACTAGAATGTGAAAGTCCTGAAAAGTACACGCAGCAAACCGTTCGTTAACTCATTGTAAGCGAACTGTAGGGACTCGCTTCGCACCATTTACTAGCCCCACAAATCACCACCGACCATCAACGCGCACGATTCCTAATAGCTAAATCCGTCGTCACAAAAAAGACAACCGTGAAATTCACTTCACTACCCGACTAACCTACTTCTTTCACTAATCCCTTCAAACTTACCAGTGCTCATAAGCTCTTCTTACAAGGACCTTATTGTACGACTACTCACAGCATGCAAAAACGACTCAAAACTTATTTACCAAATTATTTGAATACCAACATGTAATCATCCTCAGTATTTGCTTTTTCAAACAACAAACAAAATACAGAACACACTTTTTTCAAATCGTTTTATTGTTGCCATTCGATTAAATAACACTTTTTGTACCAGTCTAAAATGCGCGGGATACTACACAATTCGCTCCTACTACACGCAATAAAACATTGGAAATTTACTCATAATAACTATACAAGGGAACTACTGTAATTACAATCACCATCGCCAGACATCTTCACCAGGTGGAATCGCATCAATTCTGTCTTTATACATTAGACTCTTCCCCTTCATCATTTTGACTTTCTGGAAAGCAGCGTCTTCGTAACACTTGCCTAGAAAGCAAAGACTATAAAAAAACTTTTAAAACAAGCAATTTTACGTCAAAATGATATATATGTACATAAATAACTTAAATTTAAACCACAGTAAAGTTACTGCTTCCTTTTGAAGCGAAATGTAAGAAAAGTGACAGTTCCCCTTTAAAAAAAACTTAATTCGTAAACACTACATCTCCTTACAACAAGTTATACTTAAAACCCGCAAAAATTAAACTACTAGTTATAAAATTCATGAGAGTCCAAAAATACTAAATTAAGAAGTCTCATTAAAAACTTACACATATAAGCAACTAATACAGCTCCAGCCAATTGTAGCCTATGTTTCCAAATAGCTGTTTTAAGGAAATACTTTATTGTAAATGTTCCCATTTCCAATTTAAAGAGAAAAACCTGAAATGTACGCAACGTATTAGTAAATTACGTTTCATTTAGACACAGAAAGAGAACGCGTGTTAAGATAAGTCCTATGCAAATACAACCAGAGACGGTTGCAGCATGATAAATAAAACTTGGGTAGAGCGGTGAAAGAAACTTCCGGCTTTTCTAAATCACAATTGCTTTGCAAACTGCATAACTTTAGGCTGTTCGATCTGCAAGTAAAGCTCTAAACAAGAAATGACCAGTCGAGACATATACAGTCAGAAATGCCCTTAAGAGCAGACTTTACTACTAAATATCACAAAAATCACTTCGCTTACTGGTTTTCCAACCAAGCAAAAAATTTTCAAATTTAACTTCTACCAATCTAACACTTCTGACTGCACTACAAAGCGATCGAACAAACATAACTTTTAAAAAGTTCTAGGGGAGCTGGGAGGAATTAAATTGTTTCGTATCGCGTCAGGGCATAGAACGTATACTTAGAGACACTTCAAGAAATAATAAGAAATAAAAGAGAAAATCTAATCAGGAAAAGCTTTAATAAATAGGCAAACATCTGCAGAAAATTCTAAAACACTCATGCCTCCAAATAATTAATCCTCATAAAAAGAATTTATGCCGCAACTTTCGAAGTTGCTATATATCTTATACGATCACGGCAACGAAAAAGCAAAAAAAATTTAAAAACACTTTATTTGTCTACTGCCCATTTTAACAGCCAAAAATGGTCTAAACTGATTGGCAATAAGCCCGGCATTTTGGCAAAATCCATGCTACTCCAGTTAACGAACTATATGAGAAGTAAGATGCCACCGTGAGAAGCCGAATAAATTTCCCAGTAGTTTACAAGCATTTTATATGCTGCCTAAGAATAATAAAAAAACCTCATAATAAAGCAGGCTAGGATGATAAGATTTTTAACTCCACACACCGCCTGTACACGAGTTTTTCTCAACTCTGAAGGAATTTTCACCTAAATATACCTCTAGCGCTCAAGGAGAAACGAGTAGTTCGCAGTTAAGTAGCACAGCTCCCAATCTCTCAACTTCTTTTAAACAAAACATTTCTATGTACCTTTGGAAAGGACATCAAACAACACCAAAGTCTCTAATGAAATCAGTTTCCCTCCGCTAAATGATGCGTATTGGCAGCTAATGTACAATTTTCATATGGGATAATCAAGTTGCATTTTATTTTAAAAAAAAAAATATAAACCTCAAACAGCAGAAATCAACTAACAGGAAAGATGGACTCGACAAGTGAAAAAGCCGATATGTAAGTTGGCCAAAACTTAGACTAGCAGCAGGACTGTAGCGAGTGTTAAAGCAGTCATTAAGCACTAGCCAGTAACCGAATTACGCTGCTTATAACTTTCAGTACTGCAAATAACCAAACTTCCACCTTGGCAATTATCCCAGTGCTTCGCTGCAAGAGTCGGCCAACTGATACAACATAAAACGAGGACTTTTGGCACTTGGAAAGAACCTAACCATCAAAACGTTGATAAATTCCTGACATGACTCAACTGTATAGTCATTCATCGCAAATCAGGTGGCTGGTCTAAGAGTTTTGGGATGTTGTATGTACAGTTGAGTATGGGTCGGTTTCAGAGTTTTATTAATATCACTGCAGGATCTAAGCACACTAAAATGTTCTAAAACTAAACCTAGGAAGAGATGTTGTATGTGAAAGAGCATGAAGCATCATCGAGGAATAAATACTACAAAGTTAAGACGCAGTTCTTTCTGCACACAGTAAAACCATGATACAAGTCACAGCACACGTCTCTATGAACATGATTTACAGGTTTCACAGTCAAAACATCTCAAAAATCAAGCATGATGCAGGAGTAACTTTTATTGCATAAGAATCCTTGAACACGATCACAGTTAGCTGAAATGTCACTTTAAATCATAACTGCTTAAGATTTATCACCTCTGATACTGGTGGCGAGTATTTGCAACGACCTTTCCTGTAAAACTTCTGAAGTTTTCTTTAGGTGTTTTTTCTCATAATTACATTATGGTCTATTCATTAATCAAGGCAAAAAAAACCACTATGGGAAGTTGCTAGAAATGAAACGTTGTGGAAGTAACCGGTTTAATTCGCGGCCAATCTTATTTATTTAGGTATATCCAAGTGTTGAGGTTTATCATTATACACAGCACGAAATACGGCATGGGTGGGACGTCCGTTCTTTTTCCACTGATAAGTATGGTACCAATCCAAAAATACCACTGTTGCAGCAATAACTGGAACGACAAATACTGTGAATCGCTTATACGATCGATACAGCGAACTTTTGGTTACCATTGGCTACAGACAATTGCTTTCCTAATAAGATCCTGTAAGTCTTTATAAAATGACCTACGATAATGTTTACAGAGATATAGCGAAGCAAAAAATGTACGAAAATCCTCAAAAAAAGAACAAATATTTTGTCGAAAAGAAACAAATCAATCTAATGTGCATAAAGGCAAGTAAAAAGGAAAAAACAGAGAAAAGCTGCTGTGTAAAGGTAATAGGGAGCTAAAAATAATGGAAAAAGTATATATGGAAATTGTCATCTACAAGCAAAGTTATAAAACTGAGAACACTTCCTACGAAAGAGAAGGTCCATAGTGATGGATATACGCACGCTGTTCAGTAACACCAATAAGTGACTACGTAGCAAGGAACCGAAGAAGCCGGCGGGTTGGCAATGGCGAAGGCCGCAGTAATACCAACGTGCAGATCACTACAGTGCGCTGAGAGTTTTCTCGCTCACTTTATATATAGTAAGTTCATTTTGATACTGGCTACAATCACTGTTTCACGCTTATGTACTGTTCAATTTAGATGTTGCTGATCGGAAAAAATGAACAAAGCTTGTTGGGGGTTTTTTTATGGAAAAGAAGGTAAATGTACTGTTTATTGTGGCATTCAGAGGTGTGCAAGACATTTTTTAAACGTCGTAAGCGCACATCTCTTGAAATACTCCTGAAAAAAGAACTGGTTCTTTTTTTTTTTTTTTTTGCCGGGCTTTTGTCTCTGTCTTTTTTTAGTTTTTTAATTTTTGAATAGTTTTTGGATACTGTCACACTAAACCTCAAGATATTTTACATAATATAGGAATTTTTTACAACAGAACAACAACCTCGTAATTCTGCTCCATATGCTCCTCTGTCTTTGAAGAAAGATCAGAGGAACTAAAACACAGCAACAAGATTCAATACAGCATACAGTAGGAAATTCTAAACAATCACTTTTGGTGACAGCGAATTAAAATTTATGATCAAATGAGCTGTGATGAAGATGCTGTCTAAGGAACGGAATTTGTTTTGGCTAAGTCTGTTATTCAGTTGCATGAATTTGTTGCTAACTACTTAAAAATGTGCAAACTATTTTGCAGAAGCTCCAAATTCTCTTGGTATTTCAGTGATAAATTTTGGAGCAAATCACAGTAACTTCTTTCACATTTTCATTTGTTTGCATTGTTAGGAATGATTAGAAGCTGTATGAACTACAGAAAGTTGAGAACACATTCTTGCTTGGAGGTAGAATTAGTTCCATGAAAATAACTGAAGAATTCACTTTGAACTTCACAGCTAAGGCAGCTGTGATACACTTTTGATGGACAGTCGTAAAATCGTTCAACAGTATCTTAAACCGTAGCGGGTAAGGCAAGCGGTGTATCTGATTGACGTTAAAAACAATGAACTTATCTTGAAAATTAACAAGTTATGCAACTCGTTAATTTTTTTAGAGCTATTAAAAACCCCCAAAACTCTATTTTATGTGCTGGTTTCTGATTTGAAAGCCTAGTTTGAAGGGTAAGATTTAAGGACTTTTTAATACTTTTCTTTCCCCTAAAGACGTCGAAATTAAAATGTCTTGGTGAAAATAATTGTTGTAAGGGTGGATATTTTTATAACAAAGTTTTAATCTAAAAATTTATTTGGATAGAGAACCTTTAGTAAATGGTATCGAGCTTTCCTGACCTTCTTCTAATCACTGAATCAAGAAATATGGAACTTCAAGGACTATTGGATGTGACTATTTTATAAAATCTTCTTTTTCGGCAACGCAATGTGAAGTGTAAGAAAAGTCTTCAGTAGCATTCACTTTAATGGCAACCACGTGGAAGAGCTCTCAAGGCTGAAATTTTTCGAGATGGAAGGAATGTTTTAGTAGACAAGACTAAAATCATTGAGACAGATAAACAACTTAGCGTGAGGTTGGTTCTTTAGGCACAGTAGGCGAGTAACCGACTAAATACAAGTTGGTGAACTGTAAAATTACTACCGTCTGAAACTCATGGCCCTCTAATTCAGTAAAAATTTGATCTGTTTTTCTGTTGTCGACTTGTAATGGCTAATCTTTGATAATGTAGGAAGGCCTAATAAACTCTACTGCCATTCTTTGATACAGCGCGAACATTCGACTGCGCAGTTGGAAACTCATGGCACAACTTAACGGACGGCAGCAGTAAATGTGAAAAAAACCTTCTTGATTTTCGTTCCAGCAGTTCGCAATGATGCTGCATGTTTATCAAGAAATTTTAGCTTTTAGCAGTGAATGTTTTACTGAGAATCACAATCAGTTTTGTAGCTTAAAAATACTCACAAGGGGAAAACATTATCAAAATGACGCAAAAATTCGGTTCAAACACTGTTGGTGAAGCGTTAAGGTAGTCGAAGAGAATGTAAACCTGGAAAGAATCGAATAATTTTTTCACCCGGTTACCGCTTAGACATTGTCGTTCAGAGAGCAAGAAAGAAACGACGAAATTTTTTTGGTGCCCGAGCGAGAAATCAACAAAACGAAGAATCAAAAATAGAAGGAAAAGCAGAGACAGAAGCTGACAATTGTTTTATGCCAGAATTTGAAAGTTCATGTCACTATTAATGTAAAGCTGCCTTCTGCCCGGCCATCAAACCCTAAGCTAGTCAAATCGCAGTAGGTTACGGAGAGAACGGTGTTCAGGCTTATAGCGTAACTGGGAACATTATTTTCTGGAACAACAGCACCTACCAATGCTGCTGGTGTATTATAGTGTTTTACTTTGGGTTTTAATTTGTACCTTTTTGTGTTTGTAAGTATTGTTGTGTATAAATCATTTGCTGAATGTGAATTCTAAAAGACAGAAAATTAAAAAGCGTAAAGATTGCAAAAATTTATTTAATCAATTTTTGAGTATATAACTTGCAATAAAAAGTGCTTTAACAAATGGTTTGAGGTTTGCTCAGCATTATTATGCAGAGAGCATTATGCTTTTTATATGAAGGTGTTTAAAACATCAAAAATTATGATATTTGCTTCTGGTGTAACTTTGTGAGTTAAAAAAGTGTTTTGCTCAAAAGTTTGCTTGAATAGCTTTTAGAATATGTTCATAATAATAGTTTCTCAACTTGGATGATATCTACGCAATTCCGAGCAGCTAGTACAAGTGAAAGGAAATTCTGCAGTTGCCTGTTAGGGTTTTGAAAAAGTTTCAAACTTAAGAGGTGTAGATAAATGCTGCATATTTGACCACACAATAACAACAGTCTTATAGAAGAAAAAAATATTGATAAGGTATGGAAATTACATTGCTATTATGATATTGAAGATGGTGCAAGGAGATATTAATCATCAGTTAAAGCGCTATTCTTCACAGAATTATACTAGCTGAATTTATAAAAAGAAAAACTGGAAGATTCAATGCAGCAAATATAGAAACATTTCTGCACCTTTCTTAAGTATACCAAATCTTCCGGTCTTTTTTTTTTTTTTTTTTTTTTTTTTTTT